TGAAAATAGTACAAAGGAAGTACTTATAAACTATACTTGTAGTATTTAAATTATAAAAGAAAATATAAACTTTTCTCAAACGATATATTATATTAGACTACTTTACATTATTTTTTCCTAATATTTTATACATATATATAGCTACTATATGTATGTATCTATGTATGTATATATATATATATATATATATATATATATATATATATATATATATATATATATATATTTTCTCTCTCTCTCTCTCTCTCTCTCTCACACACACACACACACACACACACACTCTCTCTCTCTCTCTCTCTCTCTATATATATATATATATATATATATATATATATATATATATATATATATATATATATATATATATATATATATATATATATATATATATATATATATATATATATATTCTTCAATTACACACAAAATTATTATGTACACAATCATGTTTTGAATGCTATATAGCAATCAAAAGTGATTATGTGCATTATAATATTTGCATTAGGGCATGCCACATGTATAGGGGTATGCCATATGTACAAGCATTTTATGCCATATATAGCCATGTCATCTCTTTGTTGACAACAAAATTTAGTGTGCCATATCACACCAAAATCTCTATCAATCCATTGATAACTTATTTGCTGCTGCTATAGAATTTTACTCCCTTGGATCAAATGTTTGTTCTTGGTGAAGAGCTTGAGTGCCTTATCGCAATACATGTGACATTTGTGATTCTTGCATATTCTGAGGGAAATGTTGGCCAACTCTAGATTGATATAGTCATTAAAGACCACAAGTGCATGCTTAGTGCCCCCACAACATCAAGAGCCTTGATCAAGTGCTCCAATATGGCAATGGTGTTGCCAAATTGGTATAGCCAATATATGAAGGCTCATGGCTAACACTCTTTTAGCAAGTAAAGTTTACAATGCCTAGTTTAAATGTGCTTCTAATCAAGTTGATAGATCAATCATCTTGCTATGTATTCTTGCCATTCTTGCCAAGTTTAAAAACAAATAAGATGATGTTGATGTGGCAAATAAACTGACATGGATTAACAATTCATACATATGCCTAGAAATAAAAGTGGCAACCAAAAAATTATTTTATAAGCCATACATGTTTGTTTAAACAATTCAAATACACATGTGTTTTAAATTGATATATATTGCAGTATAATACAGTTTTTTGCCATGCCCCCACCTCCTATTAGAAGCTTATCATTAAGAGAAGTGGAGATAATAAATCTACTAAAGTACTAAACAATGAATATTTCTGAGTACAAAATCCTCAAAAGCCTTACTTACCTTTATAATGGCTTTAGAAACTAACCCTTAAAACCTATTTTAGGTATAAGTCTAGCATAACAAATCTTGAGTTCAAATCCCATGAGCAAAGGTTTAGGGTTTGATTCCTCTTATGGCCAATAATAGTGAATATACTCTTTAATAAATATAAAAAAATGGTAAATACATAATATACATGACATTATCCCCTCTAATGAGCATTGAGTGGCAATAAAAGTGGTTTATGACCAGACTTAAATAGATATTACTGATGGAAATTTATAACTAACTCAGAAGCATAATAAGCATGATTGCTAGGAGAATACTCAAGCTAATCTACCAAATAATAGATTTT